GCGCCAGTTGACATGCACCATCCTTGCTGAGTATGAAAAGGAGACAAAGACCGCAGTTGGATCTCTTGATCCCATCCATGGATGGGCCTGGCGGCACGCCGGATGGATGGCACACAGGTTCGTGAAGAGCCATGGGATAACCAGCTTTGAGTTGGTCACAGGTCGTCCGTACAACGGGAAGATCATATCCTTTGGTGAGACCTGCTTTGGTCGCATCCGCAGCAAAGTCAAGGGTCATCCTAGATGGGTTAGAATGCTGTGGCTGGGCAAGCTGACTGTGTCCGACGCACATGTCGGCGTGACGCCTGGAGGCTTCTTGGTCTCGTGCCGGTCAGTGAGAGGCATCCCCGAGCGTTTCAGTGATGAGCTTTGCACTGTGTTGCGAGATATGCCATACTCGCAAGCAGCTTTCCTCGCCGGCCATGTTGGACAAGCACGTGCACAGCGTACACCTGCGGGTGATGACGGGCCAGCTGTCAACGCAGAGGTGGTGCCGCCCGAGGCACCTCCACCAGAGCAGCGGCTCCTGCCTGACGACGCAATGCTTTCCGAACTTGTTCCTCAATTGCCTCGTCCAAGCGTTGCAGCGGGAACGCCAGAGCCCCCAACGCCTCACCAGGCGGGGATTGCCTCAGCTGATGCAGTCAATGAAGATGTCGCAATGCCAGAACCAAGCCCTGCGGGTGTAGGGGCCAGCCCTAGTGGTTCTAGTTCCAGTGGGTCTAGTGGTTCTAATCAGGCTGGCCGTAGTCCTCCCGAGACCCCTGCAGATCATGTTGCGCCCGGAAGCAGTGAGCCTGCGCCTGTGCGAAAGAAGCTTCGTCTGATGGCAGTCACGAAAATTGGAGACCAGGAGTTTTATCATGTGGATGGCGAGTCACCTGATGAAGAGATCGAGGCGGATCTTGGTGACGGTGATCTTGAGATTGCTGATGATGGACAAGAGCAAACCCTTGACGTGCCCCAATCCTTGATATTTCCTTTGGACCACGGTGAACCGGAACTTTCCGACGAAGAGTTGGCACGCATCGATCAGATCGCCATGGAGTACGAGCTGCAGCGGCTCGGGCGCATGAAAGTCTTGGCCCAAGTCGATGGTCCGATCCCGGGACACAGGACCCTGACCACGAAATTCGTGGTGACATGGCGTTTGAAATCGTTCGGGTGGATTCGACGTGCCCGCCTAGTAGCCCGAGAATACCACTTCCTGGACCCAGGACGCACTGGGTTATACTCGCCAGCTTCGAGCAGTCTAACCACAAGGCTCGTACCGGCCCTGTACATGACACACCGGAGCCAGGGATGGCATATGCTGTCGCTCGACGTGAGCGACGCCTACTTGACTGTAAGTCAAGAGGTTGATACGGTGACGTCAGTTAAGGTGGGTAATGGTGTAGTGGTCTGGTTTAAATTACACAAATGCCTGCCGGGACAGCGTGACGGCTCTGCAAGATGGTTTCGGGATTTCCAGGATGTGTTGGTTAGCCAATGCTGTGTGCAACCTTTTCCTGAGATGCCATCGCTGTTCCGTATGCCTCCAAATGAAAGCAGTGAAGGCGCAGGCGGGGAGTTTGAGCCGAACCCAGGTGCCACTGGGGGAGGCCTCATGCATGTTGATGACCTTCTTGCAACGGCCCACGGTGATACGCTTGAACATGTCGTTGCAAAGCTAAGTGAGCGCTACACCATCGCTGTACAGTGGATCAAAGACATTGGGGACGAATTGACGTTCCGAAAACGAGTGCATCGCTTGATTTCGGACACTGAATTGGAGATTCAGGTGCCACCTAAGCATGTGGATAAACTGCTCGAGTTGTGCAACCTCAAAGGTGCCAAACTTCGGCCCAGGAAAACCCCGTTTCCTTCAGGTAGATTGCCGACCGATGACCCTGGTGACACCGAGCTGCCAAGCGACATGGCATCCACATACCGGTCCGCAACGGGCATCTTACTCTATTTGCAGTCCGATACCGTTGCATGCCAGTTCAGCATAAGGTTCCTGGCAGGGTTCATGCAGAAGCCGACATATGGCACCTGGAAGCTGCTTAAGCACCTGGTTTCGTACTTGGCCCAGCATGAGCATCATCGTTTGGTCATTTCCACACCGGCAGTCGGTGTAGGCCTTGAGGTCCAGAAGGCTGAACATATCGTTGAGTGCTACACTGACTCAGACTGGAGTGGTTGCCGGCTGACACGCCGGAGCGTGTCTGGATGCGTGGTGCTGCTGAACTCACAGCTCCTTCATGCCTCATCGCGCACGCAGCGTGTGGTTTCCTTGTCATCTGCAGAGAGTGAATTCCACAGTGCAGTCGGTGGCTGCATCGACGCCATCCTGTTGCATCGCGCTGTGACCTTCATGTTTGGTCCCGTTGCACCCATCCAGCTGCTAATCGACAACGCCGCCGCGCGTGCGATATGCATGCGCACAGGTGTTGGACGTGTGCGCCACCTTGACGGTAAACTGTTATGGTTGCAGTCCAAAGTAGCTGATGGTTTGGTAAATGTAGTCCCGGTTGAGACGGCTTGCAACGTGAGTGATGTGGGTACCAAGTCCTTGAACCCAGGTCGCACCGAATACCTTTTGGGGCTGATGGGCATCAAAGATGCAGACAACGGCTATGCCCCTCTTGGACAAGCGCATGCAGCCATGATCGAGAATGCGCGTGCAATCAGAGCAGTGTGTCGTGACTTGAAGCATTTTGCCAAATGTGGTGAAGCAAGTGCTCAGATGCTGTCGATCATGCTTCTTGCACTTCAGATGACGCCATCGTCTGGTCAGCCTGATCAGGATGACGACCGTGATGAGAACACAGGATTGTTCCATCAGTGCCTGATGTTTTTCTTCACAGTTCTTGAGTGCTTCGGGGAATTTTTGAGCCAGTATCCGTCCGTCGCAAGCGCTGGGTTGCAAGTGATGTTGCTCATCGTTTGCATGTTTGCCGCATCTTGCTGTTGCCGACATCGTGAGCCAGAAGCATTGTCGGTGCAATTGCAGGTTGGAAACTACGTAAACTACGTAGAAGCCGATGTAAGGTTGAGCAAAGGTCCACGCACGGGTGCTGTCGGTCGGTTCCACAAAGTGCTGAAAGCACCAGAGGAAAGTGCTCCAGGAACGCCTGCCCGGCCTTTGCCTCTTGGTTCTGATGATAGTGATGTGCCTGAAGAGCACAGAAAGGCAGCAGCCAGAGGTGCCAGGTCAAAGGCAAAGTCGAGTCCGCGGAACCGTGATGAGCAAGCTCGAGGAAGTGACGAGCATGCAGCGTCCGAGAGTTCCGAAGTCATCGAGGAGGTGCCGCAAGCCCGTAGGCGCCCCAAGGCAGCTGCTAGACCGGCCCGAGTGCCCGATGTCTGGGTATCCACGAGACAAGGCTATGCGTTCCATCGCATTGCATGCACCAAGCTGAAGCATTCAGATGGAGTGACGGAAATCAGCCGCAGAGAAGCAGTGGAGAAGGGTTACACACCGTGCCGAGTGTGCAGACCCTGACGCGATGACATGCAGTAGATTGGCAATCCGAACCCAACAACTTGTTGTGCTATGCTTGGTAATGCTCATGATGCTTTTTGACTTTGCCCGGGCTAGCCGAAACTTGTTATGTTCCATTTTGGAACCAATCCCTTTTATGCCGCACTTCGAATGTGTTACTCCGAATGCCTTGATTTGAGTAGCCGACTCATCTCTCGTGCGATGGCAGCTAGGCCATCACAATCTTTTTACTACGAGCCTCAATGGCTAAGTGATGGCAACTCTGTTGCCTGTGGCCTCCGCTTGGGCAAACAAGCATGCATTCCGTAGTTCAGCCGTAGCGTAGTTGAACTTCCTGCTCAAAAGCAGCAGCTGTCACAAAGGCCTTGAGCTGGCTAGGGCAGATCAGCGAAACAGCTGACCGTAGTCGAAAGGGAGCCTGAGCTAAGTTGTCTGGTTTGTTGAAGTCAATGTGGGCGGAAATCCTTATGTACACAGATACTCCGAACCTCGAAGCACTGTGAGGCGGGGTGCTAAGATTTCCGTTTGTGTAGAAGCCCACATTTTGTTGTACTAATTTGTGTTTTTACTTTGCTCCCTGTAGTTGAGCCCGATGAATCTTGAGTGACTCCGCAGGCCTTTGAGTGTTCAAAATGTTAGCACAATGGCTGGTATAGCCGCACAGCAAGCAGCACAGCCACCACACGCGAGCCACATGCTGCGAGGGCACAAACCTCTGCTGCGTTCTCGCTCTTACTAGCAGACAAAGGCCCGCACACAATGCGCATAGCACTCCCTCTGAGGGGGTCGTACTCAGGACTTGCAGCTGTGCAAGGTGAGGTTTCCTCAACCTGAGTAAGGGTTGGAGGAGCATCCACCATACGAGGTGGCGGTGTTGGCTCCTCTGGAGTTGCAGGTGAGGGAGCCTCAACCTGAACGTTCATCGCTGAAGGCACCTTTTGAGAACCATGGTGGACCTCTTTCTGCTGGGCTGCATTGTCAGGCTCAAGTGAGGGAGCCTCAGCTTGCTCAGGGTTTGGTATTTGGGGCCTCAGATTCATCTGATGGCCCGGCCCACTAACCGGTGGCCTGAAAGGTAGATGGAGGAAACCTCGGACGAGGCTGCGGCCTCCACTGAATGCATATCTGAGCGCGTGCGCTCCGTTGGTTTATCAAGCCCCCAAAACAGCTTTAAAATTTTAAAGCGTTCTTGGAAGCCTTTGTTTTCACGGTCGTGATAATGTGGTCCTTAAATTTTGAAAAGACTGCAGTGATTTCATGTTCCTAAATTATGTTGACACGGAATGTTCCGAAACCGGAGCCCTGTGTATAGCATGTTTCCGACATGTGCATTCGTGCTTTATTTTCCATGGAAGCACATGAGCAAGTTTTTATTGTATTGCTTGTTGTGAATTTTCACTGACTTGTCTGATGAGTGACATGGTTCAAGTCGGGCTCCTGCAGAGCTCAGAGTGAAAATTTTTAAGGAGTTCGCCCTTAGGGCTCGTGCAAGCTCCCGCGCAGCGGGCAGCGGATGGTCATTGCGTCCGTCCTTGCTCGAGGCCGTGCCGCCTCCCAGAGGCTCTTCCTGGTGCCTCAGGGTCCCCTTCCTTCGGGTTCTGTCTGGATTCGGGGGTTTTGCTGGGGCTTCCTTTGTGGGTTCTTTTCCTTCGTGTATCTGCTGTGCATCCTGTGAGCCTCGTACATGCAAGCCGTCGCCCTTCGGTGTGACCTCGGCACTTTGTGGACGCAGCCACGCGTGCGCAGTGCTGTGGCACTTTCTGCACGTCACGGATCGTGTTCGAGTGCAGAGCATTACTTGGTGGATTCACGCAGATATCCGTTGGTTCATTTTTGAGCTGCAGCCTGCTTTGCCTGACAGCGACTTCAGCAGTGAGGAAGAGCTGCTCCCGCGCCGTGCGGGGTAGTGCCTGCAATGTCTTCAATGGCTTCGGGAATAGGGGGTTTGGTTATCAGCAGTCATGTGCGGCATGTGTGGGCCTCGTCCAGCGCCTCAGCCTTCGATTTCTTGAAGCCGGATGCACTGTTGTCAGCCTCGCCCCTACTTCAGGACCCCAATAAGAGACCCAGGCTGCTGCCCGCTCCTGTGGGGCCTCTGCCTCCTTTGCCAGTTCCTGATGAACCTCGGCCTCAATCAACTCCTCCGGAAATCGACTATGGGGTGAATGCGTACTTGGCAGCTGGGTTGAAACCGTTGACTGCCAGGGATGAGACCTTGAAGTTGCAAGCAATCACGTATGAGCGGAAGTGCGCCCTGAAGAAGTGGTTGAGCTTAATCTCTGTGAACTTCCAGGCGTGGGAAATCGCGAGACGGGCTCTGGGCCCCTTCGAGCCCAGCTTTGCGTGCAAAGGCCTGGTAGACAGTGTCAGAGATGCTGCGCGAGTTAAGGCTTCAAGCACTTTGCATAACCGAGCCGGACCCCTGCTCCGGTACGTGAAGTTTTGGAAGGGTCGAGGACACAAGTGCTTCCCCGTGAGTGAGGGACAGGTCTACTCCTTCTTCAAGGACGGGGGAGATATGGCGCCCACCTTTCCAAGGTCCCTGATGATTTCCATCAGCTTCGCTGTGCACGTGTTTGGCTTGGTTTGGACTGATGACCCGTTGAGAAGCGGGAGGGTCAAGGGCTTGGTCGCTTCCCACTATGCGACGAAGCGCGAAGAAGTCAGGAGACCGGCTTTCACTGTGGAGCAGATCAAGTTGTTGGAGAGGATCGTCATGGACAACGGGAGGTCTTCGTATGACAGAGTCGCTGCAGGGTTCTTTCTGCTGCTCGCGTACGGTCGTTTGAGGTTCAGTGACGGGCAGAGGATTACCAGCTTCCTGTTGGATCAACCCGACCCCAACAAGCCTGAGCTGGGATATCTGGAGTGCACTGCCAAACGCACCAAGTCGCAGGTCGGCATGATCAAGAAGGCAAAGGTCCTGCCCGTGGTGATCCCGTTGGCTGCGGTGGGGCTCTGCTGGATCCCTACCTGGCTTGTCCTCCGGATGAAGGCCGGGCTGTGCTATGGAGGGTCGGTGCCGGAGAATGAGCCGATCCTCCCGGCGGTTGCGGCAGGAGGCGGCTGGACTCGAGTTCCCCTTGACGTCTCGGCGGCTAGTGATTGGTTGAGGCAGCTGCTGAGACATACTGCGCAGGTCGGTCCCATCAAGGTGGGTACCCACAGCGCCAAGGCAACCATGCTCAGTTGGGCTGCCAAAGTCGGCATGGATGATGGGCCCAGGCGCTTGTTAGGCTTTCACGTGAAGACCGGAGACTCCCTGATCGTGTACAGCAGAGACGCTATGTCTCATCCTATGCGGTTGCTCGTACGCCTCATCCTGGACGTCAAGAACGGCAAGTTTGACCCAGACTTGACCCGCTCCGGGGCTTTGGCAAGTGAGCTGGCTGGGGAGTCGGAGTCTTCCGAGGGCTCGACGGATGAAGAGTGCAAGCAGGTGTCGGAAGAAGAGAGGGCCGTGGAAGAGGTCGTCGGCGAGTGGGACCCGGGCCACGGCCCCGACGAACACTTTGCTAGGCACCTTGTCTCACGATGCATTCACAAGGTTCGGGATGAGGCTGGGTCGCAGCTGGTGTGTGGTCGCACTATCAGCACGCGCTTCGAGGTCCTGAACAAGAAACCGGCATTCATGCACCCCTTGTGCTCAGGATGTTTCAGTGTCTGAACAATTTTGGAACGCACTCGCGCAGCCTACGAAAACGTGATGGGTGAAGGGACACTTGTCTGAGTAGACATGCAGAGACAGGGGTGCACATGGTACAAGAGCGCTCAGCAGCACTTGGTGTCTGAGTACCACAGTGAGCGATCATGTCATGAAGGTGTGTGGGTCAGCTCGTGGATGATAAATGTGAATCTTGACGCGCGCCCTCAATGTCTTGAGATTTTGAAAGTGGTAGAGCTCTGATCCGTCATGTCGGTGGCTGACAGCAAAGCAGTCTTCAAAGCTCGGGCGGTGGCCGTGGGCCTCGAACCTGAGATCTTGACGCACCTCGCGAATGGCGAGATTGACACGTTGGCTTCGCTGGCCTTTTCTTGCAGCTACACCCCAGGTAGCTCTGATGACTCGGTCTTTGTGACGCTGATGGGAAAGCTATGCGGTAAGGATCCTGGGGTCAAGCAGCTGGCGTGCCTCCGCAGGTTGTTCGCGGAAGCGTACGCCATCGTAGCGAGTGACATCAAGACTCAGGTAGAATCTTCAGACGATGTCCCCATCAAACGTTTGGCGCCAGCCGACCGTGCTCAGAGGTTGGCCGATCAACAGGCGAGGCTGGCCGGCCTCAACTTGAGGGGCCATTTGGAGCCAGGAGATGGCCTGGTAGACAGATGTGCCCATATCTATGAGACAGACCGGCTGGCTTACGTTGAGTGGGCGGCCTGTGTATCCAGAGACCATGAGGTGTTGACTGGCACCAAGAAAGACGGCATGCTGGTCCTTGATGCTCACGGCCAAGTCAAAATGTCGTCGAAGCAAGGTGCAGCTCCATGCGAGACTACCACAGAGCTCCAGGTGCGCTACTGCCTAATGAGGCGTGGTCTGGCGTTTGAGCAAGCGAATATCCTCGATTATAAGCTGCACGACCAGTTGATCGAAAAGTACTTTGAGTATCGCTTGATGCCGACACCTCCCGGCTTTGCAGCTGTCGGGATGGGGCAGATCGAAGCGGCTGACCGTCGGTTCTTCATGCTTATGGCAGAGCGCACGAGGTCGGGGATCAAAGCCACCGCCGGTGGACGACCATGTGACAAGGAGTTCAAGGCATGCATCGAGAGCAGTGAGTTCCTTTCGATGATCCAACACAAACCTTTGGCTGCTGCTGCCAAGGAAGCCGGGACCGAGGAAGGCTCCCCGTCCAAGAAGCGCCGCTTGGGCTCAAAGGGCCGAGGCAAGGGCAAGGGCAAAGGCCGCGGTGAGCGGTCCGCAGGAGGCATTGTTCCGGCCCAGCTACTGCGCCTCGGATGTGTTGCCTGTACCTCCCGTGGGAACCCCGTGTGCTTTGACTACTCGCTCAAGAAGTGCGAGCGCAAGGTCACGGGCAACAAGTGTGAGCGCGGCTTACATGTTTGCGCTGTTGCCAAATGCCATGGCAACCATCCGGCCACGGAATGCCCAAGGGCATCCAAGGCGGAATGACTAGGGCACGGGAAGGAGGAGGCGGGTCATGTGCGGCCTGCAGAGCCCGAGGAAGATGCCTCGGGGGATGTGCCACGCAAGGGCGTGGCAGAGACGCCTGTGGGCGATCGCAAGTGTGCGAGTGAGGCGCCGCCTCTACCTGTACAGTCGGTTTCGTTTTCCAATGTCACAGAAGAATGCTTCGATTCCTTTTGCAAGAGTTTACTTGATGACACCTCTCTGAATCCATGCGACCGCATTTTGCAGTTGCTTGAGCAGGCGCCTGTGCAAGAACCGCCCCGTGAAGGGGCCCAAGCAGGTGCGAAGAGTTTCCAAGTCGGTGTCTACAATCATGGAGGGGTTACGGGGCTTCGAGCCGCCACGCACAGATACCCTCATGCTTGTCGAATTTTGACCGACGCCGTTCGGATGGTGTGTGCTGACCACATCTTTTCAACAGTTGCCCTGTTCCGCAACATACAGGTTGCGCCTCATGCTGACTCGCGCAACAGCCCAGTGCCAAACTTGATTGTCCCTGTCACTCTGTTTTCAGGTGGTCAACTGTTTGTCGTACATCAGGATGGACCCGACCGCCATGTGTGTGATGGGAAAGAGGCGTCAGGCTTTAGCTTGGATGTCGCTGCGAAGCCCTGGCTGTTCGATGCAAAACATTGCAAACACTTCACGTTGCCATGGCAAGGGACACGGCTCGTCATGGTTGCTTTCACGGTGGGCCTCCTCCGTAACCTGTCAAGTCAAGATGCAGCCGTTGTGGCGGGTCTCGGTTTCAACTTGCCGTCATGCGACATGCCTGAACAGGGCTGTTCCCAGCCTACGAATGCGTCGTTACTTGACCTGCGACGACCCCCCGGGCCCCGACCTGATAGCGGACAGTCCCCGGCTGGCCTTCAGTCCCCCGTGACGACCGAGGAAGGGCAGCAACTCCCTGAGATCAGGGCCCCGGAGGTCGTTGATGTATCCAAGGACACACGCCACCCTTCAACGCCTGCGAGGGCCGATGCTGGGCAGCCCTTACCCGAGTGCCGGGCCCCGGAGGTCGGTGGTTCGGTATCCCTGCCGGGTGATGGCCCCCTTCTTGTGGAGTTGTGCGCCGGATCCGCAGTGCTGAGCAGCGTGGCATCCACGCGTGGCTTCTCGACCCTTGCCGTTGATCATGCCTTGAACCGTCACACACCCAAAAGCAAGATCACTGTCTTGGACTTGAGCCTTCCAGCCTCGTGGAGCACGTTGGGGTACATTCTGGAGAACCGAGAAGTGGCTCTCTTGTTCGCAGCGCCCCCGTGTGGGACTTGCTCCGCAGCGCGGGCAATCCCGCTGGAAGACGGGTCGATGGGTCCACCTGTGTTGCGCACGCATGAGTTTCCCTATGGAGTGCCGGGCTTATCCCCGCATAACCGGCTCAAAGTTGAGAAAGCCAATGCCCTGTATGCGTGCTTGGCAAAATTCCTGCTGCTGGCGCATAAGCGCCGTATCCCTTGGATGGTGGAGAATCCCACCGGCAGCCTCCTGTGGATCTTGCCTTGTTTTGCAGAGCTTGTCAAACTCGGACGGTTTTCACACTGCGAGTCATGTGCGTTTGGAGGCCAGCGTTTAAAACGTACCAGCTTCTTGGGCAGCGATCGATGGCCTGGATTGTGCTTGAGATGTCCGGGGGATCATGATCATGCACCGTGGGGTCAGTCTGCGGATGGGTCCTTTGCCACGGCCCTCGAAGCTGCGTACCCTTCGAAGCTGTGTCATGCTGTGTGTGATTTTGCTGAACACGTGTGCCGTGAGAGGGCGATTCCCCTAGGTTCTGCTGCTCCCCTGGTTCCGAGGGCCTATCGTCAACCCCGGGGCCGGCTGCATCCGCAGGTCATCCCCGAGTACCAGCATACCGTATCCACCATTTTGCCTGCGTCGCCGTCTCTCGACGACAAGCAATGCCTGCGTGCTGCTTTGCAAACGCCCAGAGGTCTCCTACCCGCTGGGAGCAAGCTTCTGCGTTCCGAGAATAGGGGAGGTGGTAAGTGGTTCTGTGTCTTTGGTGTGTTTTGGGATCCCTTGTCCTTTGTAGAAGAGGCGAGGAGGCTTTGGCACCCTTTCGACTCGCTGGCCCACCTGCCAGACTACTTGATCACCGCCCTTCATGAGCAGCTTTCCTTGTCACCAATGGACTTGACTAAGTTGAGGCTGACACGTTTGAAGCATTGGCAGGATCTGGCAAAGTCGCTGCGTCAAAAGGATGCGACTATGAAAGAGCAGCTGCATCCGGACGTGCAAGGCATACTGAAAGGGAAACATCTGGCCTTGTTGGCGCATCTTGTTGACGAGATCCAATGGCCGGACGCGCATTTGTTGCATGAGCTGTGCCAGGGTTTCCGACTCGTAGGCCCTGCCAATAAGTCGGGTGTGTTCAGGGCTGGCTTGGTAGTTGCTTCGCAGGATGAGTGCCAACTCATGCGCAGGGCGCCAGAGATTAGGGAAGGCATTCTGAAGCGGCTGGAGTCAGAACCGATGGCTGAGTACGCTCAAGAGCTGTGCGACATCACTCGTGAGGAGGCCGACGACAAAGGGTGGCTGGAGGGCCCCTTCTCCCCTGACGAAGTCAGTGATCGCCTAGGAGAATGGCTCCCTGTGCGGAGGTTTGCTGTGCGCCAGGGGGCGAAACTGCGCCCCATCGACGACCTGCGGGAGAATGAGGTCAACTCCTGCTTCTCGAGTGTTGAGAAGGTCACCTTGTCTGCCATGGACCATGTGCTGTGGTCGGCTAACATCTTGGTTGCATACTTCCGGGATAGGGGTGCCTACCGCTTTACTTTGTCCACAGGCCAGGTGCTGTCAGGTAAGGTTCATCACGCTTGGTCTGACGCCGGGGCCGAGTTGCGCATGTCGTCTCTTGACCTAAAATCAGCGTATAAGCAACTCCCCTTGTCTCCGCTCGATCACAACAAGTCCGTCGTGTGCCTCCGGAACCCTCGGAGTATGGCTTTGGAGTGCTACATCATGAAGACGCTCCCCTTTGGGGGAGCGGCCAGCGTCCCGTCCTTCTTGCGATGCAGTTCCCTTATCCACGCCTTGGGGTGCCGATTGGGGCTTTGCTGGTCGAACTACTTTGACGACTTCCCGGTGATATCGCACTCCCTGTGCGCGTCATCGACCATGGCCTGCATGGTGGGTTTTCTAAAGTTGTTGGGGTTCGATCACGCTAAGGAAAAACTACTCCCCTTTGATGTGAAGGCGGAAGTTCTCGGCGTCCAGGTAGACTTGACTGGGGCTCCTAAAGGGGTAATCCAGGTTAAGAATAAGGATAGCCGGGTTGCTGAGTTGTTGCCAGTGCTTGAGGCGGCGTGCCGCGACAAGAAAGTCATCCCGGCCCACCTGCCATCTTTCGTCGGCAAACTCCAGTATGCCGATGCTCAGATTTGGGGGAGAGCGGGGCGTTTGGCGTTGCATGATGTTAGAGCTTTGGCGCACACCTCCAAAGTACCTGTGAGCCTGGACCCCAGTGGTCTGGCGGCTTTGAACCTTCTGAAGGAACATTTCATGCGGGGTAGGCCTCGCACTTTACTTGCCTCCCGAGGGGAACTTCCGTTCCTCATGTTCACTGATGGCGCTCTTGAAGAGGGGCAAGCCAAGCTTGGTCTCCCGCCTGCCACCATAGGAGGCTTGCTCTTGTGGCCCGGGCGTAGTCAGCGGGCTGAGTATTTTGGGTGTGCTGTTCCTGAGACAGTGCTGGAAATGTGGCGCGCGGATGGGAAGTCACATGTCATCGGCCTAGTGGAGCTCTATGCCGTAGTGGTGGGCATCCGCACCTGGAAGTCGTACTTCGAGGGAAGGAGGTTGCTAACGTTCGTCGACAACTATGCTGCGCTCGATGTTGCTATCAAAGGATCCGCGTCTGTCAAGCAGTGGCGCGATTTGTTGTTGCTACTTGAGTGCCCCGATGAAACGTCCCCCACGCTCATGTGGCATGCAAGGGTACCGTCGAAGTCGAACCCGTCGGATGGGCCCAGCCGGGGTGACACGTCCCTGATGGAATCCTTCAACGCCAAGCGTGTCACGCCTGTATGTCCCGTGACACAGGTGCAGCTGCGGAACTTGTAACCAGCTAGATGTGTGCTGAAGCAGACCGGGGAACTTGACCAAATGTGGTCGACGGGATGTGCCCGCGTTGTGCAATGTGCACGTAGTGTTCAACTTGATATGCATCCCCAGTTTGCCAAGAGAGGAAAAGAGCGCCGCTGATTGTGAGACCTATATTGTCAAGTGGAATGAATCGTGCATGTATAATTGCAATTGATGCTTTCAAGAATTTTGGGGATATTTGATAAGCATATCTGAGCGCGTGCGCTCCGTTGGTTTATCAAGCCCCCAAAACAGCTTTAAAATTTTAAAGCGTTCTTGGAAGCCTTTGTTTTCACGGTCGTGATAATGTGGTCCTTAAATTTTGAAAAGACTGCAGTGATTTCATGTTCCTAAATTATGTTGACACGGAATGTTCCGAAACCGGAGCCCTGTGTATAGCATGTTTCCGACATGTGCATTCGTGCTTTATTTTCCATGGAAGCACATGAGCAAGTTTTTATTGTATTGCTTGTTGTGAATTTTCACTGACTTGTCTGATGAGTGACATGGTTCAAGTCGGGCTCCTGCAGAGCTCAGAGTGAAAATTTTTCCCACCCACCCAACCCCAGGGGGAACTTGACCAAATGTGGTCGACGGGACTTGACCAAATGTGGTCGACGGGATGTGCCCGCGTTGTGCAATGTGCACGTAGTGTTCAACTTGATATGCATCCCCAGTTTGCCAAGAGAGGAAAAGAGCGCCGCTGATTGTGAGACCTATATTGTCAAGTGGAATGAATCGTGCATGTATAATTGCAATTGATGCTTTCAAGAATTTTGGGGATATTTGATAAGTTCTGCAGGTGAGGGCTCCTCAACCTGTGCAGCAGGCGAAGCATTCGCCTGAGACGCCTGGGCTAGCGAAGGCGAGGAAACCTCAACCTGAGCTGGGGCTGTGCTCGGCGCCTCCGTTTCCGGATTCGGTTTTTGTCTCTTGGACGGAGGCGGAGGCTGGTAAGCCTTAGCCGGGGCTGAGGGCTTTGCACGTGGGGCCTCCACCGACCTCGAAAAACTTGGGAGGTTTGTGGCGGGGGCCCGGTTGGCACTGAGTGCTCGAGCTGCCTGCTGAAACGGGACCGACTAATGGGAGGTTTATCAGCAGCTCGTCTGTCCTGAATCAATCTCTGATATCTTTGTTCAACTTGAGGGTCATCGAAAGGGGCGTTCTGCCCCTTACCAGGCTCGCCTTTCCCTTTCCCCATCCTACCTCTGGAGCCGAAACTGCACGAGTCTCAACCTTGCAAGGTGAGCAAAACGAGGTAAGAGAAGCACCTAACTTGGGTGAGGTCGGAGGGCTTCGCGGGGACAGCACCTGAGGGAAGGAGGAGGGTGCGGTAATGACCAGACAGAGGGGAGGCTCCAAGGTGCATAACAACAGCCTTAGGTTCATACACCAACAACTCTCCATCAAGGCCCTCCAAGACACAAGACTCCTCAAAGCTGACACTAGTTTCAAGACGCCTAAGCTCAGGATCTGAACCAACGAACCTACCCAGCTGCAACGCAATGACTGGCGCGCAAGGTGAGTCTTTTGACTCCACCTTGCTGCCACCTGCGCAGGGCTCCCTTGAGGGACATCTGGTGGTCCTCAAGAATTAGCGGTAAAGGCCACATATTGCCTTCGTCTTCAGCTCTTCCTGGGAGACTCAGTCTCCAGGAGACTTGGGCGACGCTGGGCGTCACGGCATGTGAGAGGTGCATCAAAAGATGACACACATCGTGTTGGTTATTAGGGGACTGCCATCGACCCTGTGAATGCACGAGTCGAGTCCAGGGCAAGGTCTGCCAGAGGAGAACCCTTTTCTGGTCGCGTAACCAACGAAGAATGCCTTGCAGTGGGGACGAGGCGAAGGGAGAGGACCCTTCCGAGACTAAGTCAATCCAAAACAGCCCAACCACTAAAGCATTGGTATAACAGTGGTTGGAGGGGTTCTGAAATTTGACCTTCTTGATAATTGCAGCAGCTGCACTAAGGTCCAGGGGAGGCCGGCCTGAGGGAGGCCGAATTTCACCAGGAGCTTCAGGGACCGCAGGCGGAACCTGATTACCAACCATCGAAGTAGCTGGCTGCTCTGGCCGTGCCTCGCCTGATGAAGGGCGATCTAGGCTTGGGGCAGTAGCGGGCTTCAAGGGAATCTCCTCAACCTTGACTTTGGGAGGAGAAGAGAAGAAATTTCTGAGATTGCGCGCAGCCGGAGCGGAGACTGCCGGCTTCCTGCCTTGACGAGCGGACGGAGGGAGGGAATCAGGAAGTATCGTTCTTCGAATGCCTGGAGAAGATAGAGCTTTATTGTTCAAAGGAAACAACATCAAAATGTTGTGGTGAACAAAACATTTGCTTGTTGTTTCAGTGCTTGCCTTTTTGCACAACTTATTTCCAACGCTTGATCAGTTTTATGCTTGTTCATGCAGGATTTGTATTTACTTATACACCCGTCGCAGCGGGACCTCTCAGAGGGCAGGATGCCCGGAAAGTGCTCTTAGAAGCTGATAGATTGTTTTCGAAAAACCCACCCTCGCCGCCCTTGTAAATTAATGTAAACGTTTTCGCAACCACGTCAGGAGAGGACTCATGTGCATACGAAGCATCCGGTAAGGGACCAGGCAGCTCAATGAGCGTGTGCAATAAGGAACCCTTGTTAGTGCGGGCCTTACTTCATGTGGTGACAGTGCCGCTTATTTGCTTTACGCATAGAGGCTCGAGTCTTGCTCTTTTCATCGCTGTACTTTTCTCAGCACTCTTCATGGCGCGGTCGTTGACGCGCGATCAGCTAAATGATTTTCGGGTGTGGCTTCACTCTTTGAATATGGATTCCCTCATGAAGGTGGCTGAGGTATTGGACGACCTCATGGCAGACCGTGAGATGCGGCAACAGGAGGCTGTTGCAGCTCGTCAGTCTCAGTGGCAGTTTGTGAACCGTGCACCTGACTTGGAGCAACCAAGTGAAGCTGCCTCGTCAAGCTCTCAGAGACAGCCAGAAACTTCTTGAACTGTCGTTCTGAACCACACGGATATCCTGTTCAGGCCGTCACACTTAGGCCGAACCTGTGAGAGGCCGTGAGTTAGCTGTATTTTCCTCTCGAAGGGGAAAGGAGCCCTGTGTCTCACAGGACATTTCGAGACTCAACAACAGTCTTGGGTCTTACAGGAGGGATCGAGATCCAACCAGCCGTGCTCGGTACTGTTTCCCCACAACGTGAAAAGATTCGAACGAGAGCGAGTGATGTGAGCAGAATGCATGTTGCTTGATGAAGATTGTGTCATGCTTGAAGTGTTCAAACACGACATGACATTTCATAACAAGCACGGTTTTGAACAATAACTCCCAATCCACTCAACAAACCTTTGGTAGCCTGGGCTAATTTGTTGGATTTTCTCCTTGTGGCACAGTCAGCGGCTAAGAGGCGAGGCACCTTCTTGGCCCGAGCGGGCAAGATACCTTCACAGACTGAACATTGCCAACCTTTGCCTACAGACACAAGCTTGTGGGAAGGATTAACCACAAGACAGGTGGGAGGAGAACCGGTACACCCAACACAGGGTTGAGAAAGGGTTTGCTGAAAGATGAACGGGGGATCAACTTGTTGGATCCAAAGGCCACAGGTGGAGCATGTGGCAGTAAGATTGGTTGGATGACGGCTGCGAAACTCCCACTTGTGTCCCGTCGGGACGGAAAGAGCGGAGACGAGATTCTCAATCTGCTGACGTTTGTTCAGTGTGGGGTTTTAGGCTCTCTTTTGCAGATGACTGAGGAGCTGAGAAATCGTCGACACCAGGGTATCAACCTGAAGAATCTGTGCCTTCGCTGCTGGATGCACTGCCTTGTTGGCGCGGTCCCCCGCCAGATGATCGGCGGCCTGATTCAGGCGCCACCTCCACAGGGAGTCGTCTCCGAACCTTTGAATGAACTGTTTTTCATCAAGATGTGCCTTTACCCAGGTCAAATGAGCTCGATGTCGCTCCTCCCAACTTTGCCGCCAAGATGGGCTATGTCTGGCGGAGACGGTCCTAGCTGACTTCTGGCGGTATGCCACTCTTGAGTCAGTAGTGATGTCGAGGTCCCCTACACACAGCTCCAAGGCCTTGGAGATGGCGAAAACTTCGCCGTCAAGAATGGTCGCAGGTCTGGGTAGAACTCCACTGGCCTTAGCAATGATGGTCAGCAGATTGAGAACCTCGTCTCCGCTCATTCAGTCCCGACGGGACACAAGTGGGAGTTTCGCAGCCGTCATCCAACCAATCTTACTGCCACATGCTCCACCTGTGGCCTTTGGATCCAGCAAGTTGATCCCCCGTTCATCTTTCAGCAAACCCTTTCTCAACCCTGTGTTGGGTGTGCCGGTTTTCCTCCCACCTGTCTTGTGGTTAATCCTTCCCACAAGCTTGTGTCTGTAGGCAAAGGCTGGCAATGTTCAGTCTATCTTGCCCGCTCGGGCCAAGAAGGTGCCTCGCCTCTTAGCCGCTGACTGTGCCACAAGGAGAAAATCCAACAAATTAGCCCAGGCTACCAAAGGTTTGTTGAGTGGATTGGGAGTTCCTGATTCCCTCCCTCCGTCCGCTCGTCAAGGCAGGAAGCCGGCAGTCTCCGCTCCGGCTGCACGCAATCTCAGTAATTTCTTCTCTTCTCCTCCCAGGTCGTAACTATTGCCCAGTTTGCTTTGACTCTCATCCTGGTCAGGCACACGGACCCATCGACACGTCTCCATCCACCTGCCAGCAGGGCTGCGTAGCGGTCTCGCGAGCAGATGCTGCAAATTGGGTCCTGGCGGCATGCGCAGATAGGGAACCTGTCCCCTCAATTCGAAAAGGCAAGCTTCCGAGTATCGGCAGGCATACAAGACAGCAGAAATTTCCGGGGGGAGGCGCATGGATGAGCAAAGCGAAAGATTGATGGCTGGACCCGCAATAGCCTTGAGTCCCGCGGCTTGCATGTGTTTTGGCTTAACACAGCTTAGGCAGAGGATGGCTTCCAGCGTGGAGTTGGCCGAAAACCCAGACTCCGTATAATCAGGGTGCAAATTGGGTTTGCCCCAGGAAGGCGTATCTCCTTGCCCTTTTTTCCACGGTCCGGCGCTATTATGCGTTTGCTTTAGCAATGCTGCTGGTAGCGTGGCAGGCGTATACAGATCAGCCGGGACGGCATTGAGGCCGCATGTTTTTTGCTCCAAAAGCTCCGTCACATTGTGGTAATTCGGTCGGGATCCTCCCGCCGGCTGCCTGTGATCCCCAATCATGACATCAAGCGCGTGTCGAATGTGAGCCAGAATGGTGTTGGAGCCAGGTGTGCCCAGTTGCTGTGCTTCATCCCTGAGCAGAAGCTCCACATCCTTCAACCTGTTAATGAGCACCGAGTATGGGAAGCTGAGCCGAGCAACTATAGTCCCATGTGTCGCTGCAACTAACAATCCCCGGAACGCATCATGTGCGTCAAAAGGAAGCTTGTAGGTATCCTTTTCCTTGCTGGCCGGGACGCGAATGATGCGACTGCGGACGAAATCGTGGCTTGCAGCGGTTAACCGATCAACGGCCTCGATGTAGGCTCGCGCTGACTCGTTGCCATGTGCGGTGTAAAGGGTGAGTCTGTTGGTCAGGCAGGCAACAAGTACTCCCAGGAACGCACACGAGCGTGTTTTGCCGCTGCCAGGGGCACCAGTAATGAAGACAGAGGAGCGATTGGCACCCAAACCGTGAGAACAGGTTCCAATCAACGCCGCAAGATGACCGTCAGCCCCCCAAAAAGTGTCACAAAGACACGAAAGGAAGGACGGCCCCGCCGCAAGTGCAAAGACACTGGCTCGGCTTCTTGGGTCTTGCTCATTGCTTAACGAGTTCGGGTTCAGGCTTAAACGCTCCGCATGCCACAGCGCAGGAGTTCGGGCGTCCTCTTGGCTGGGCAGCGGCGCAACAGGCAGAGTGGCTAGAAGTCCAGCCAGCAACTGCGGAGTCCATTCCTTAGCATAGACTTTGTCCCCCACTAGCCAGCTTGCGAGGAGGCCACTTAGAGGATCGTCATAACCGGGTCCCTCAGGATGAGAAGCCTGGCTGACGTGCGTGCCATGCCTTCCCCTGAGGACCTGACAGACTACAGGGTGTATAAGATGGGCCCACGAGTCATGCCAATGCCCTTGGACAACCAATCCGGTGAGCAGAACAAGCACAAGATCAGTGAGAAAATTCGGCAGCCAGTATGGCTGGTGAATCGCTTCCAATGGGGAATCCGCCAGCGGTACTCCAAGAGCGACATGCTGTCGCTCCTTGGGCATGTGTAGCAGTGCATCCCAAAGCGGGGTGGAAGCTCCGCCAGGGAGAACCTCCAGCTGGCTGACCCTGGGCAGGGTATGTTGATTCACCAGGTGGTTGCGCTGATCATCAGACAGCACCAGGGCGATTGTGAGGTTTACGGGCTGCATTGCTTTGGTCTCGCCCGCGTTGGTACGAAGCTTCTTAGGGGCGGTAAGCTCAATGAACACACCAGGGTAGGTCGTGTCACGACTGCCTTCGCTCAGAGTGACCAGCAACGCAGTGCCCTTGGCGGGTACTTTGCCGGCGACAGCAAACCACATTCTGCGCCTCTCAGGAACTCCTGCCAATTCTGGTGTGAGAAGGATGACTGTTGCCCTCGGATAGACCCGATGAAGAAGGCCGATAGGCCACGTATTGGCGCCTGGCTTGACGGCAGTGGGTGTGGTGGCACGTTTGACGGCTGCCTGCTCCGGGTAGTGATACTGCTCCGAAGGCTCCTCCTCAACTTCTGCTTCTGATGCCATGGCTAAGAACTGGTAGCCAAGCATATCAACGAGGCGCTCAAGTGGCAGGAGGGGAAGCCACATGTCTAACACAAGTTTCATTGTGGGACCAAGCTTCGTGGTAGGGCTGTGGAGGTGAGGCTTGGCCTCCTGCAACAGGATGCCCGTGCACTCACCTCTCAATTCCATAATTCCCCGATTAGTCGCAGGCGGCAGTTTGAGGAATTTCTCCATATCCTGCCGGGTGACTTGCCGTCCCAGCACCGCTTTGACAAAAGCTTGGGAACATTCCGGCAATTGGACCGAGCCACAAGCGACGCCCATTAAGGACGCCCTGACTGCTCGGTCGAGCCGAGGATCCGCCAAACCGCAAATCTTCCTGGTCAGCTCCTTGTGCACGTAATCCCCTGGGGTGAGCTGGAACAACTCCTCACTGTCAACGAAGTGGCCGTAGGAGTGGCCTCCGCTGCCGAAGGTATCAGACTCCGAGAAGAAGTACAGGCGAGCCCCATCCCGAAGCGCCTGCTCCCTCGCTGCCAAGCTCGGCCGGAAGATGCAAAGCTGGTCGCCCTGGTGGTGGACAAGACTGACCGCATGTCGCAACTCTGACCGCAGAATGTATCGCAACATAGCCCGTGGCATGGCAATGCCCCCGAGGCGCGCCTCGATGGGGACGAAATCGCCTTTGCACTGGGGGCGTTGCTGGCGCTCGTGCCATGCAATGACCACAGCTGCGCCGGTGTAGGAACCAGCGGAGAAGCCACTGATGCGTAGTTTGCATTGGCCGGCCCTGCCGGCACCCAAACCCACATGTAAGGCCGTTAATGCTGCAGTGTGTGGCATGCGCAAGTGTGCCAAGGCCGGCTTCATGGTAAGGGCAGCTTCAACAGCGCTAATCCTGGCCCTCACACCAGCAGGCAAGTGGCATCCTTCAACGTGTGGGTAGAGAGCCTTGGCCCAAACTTGGGGGGCCTGAGGGAGGAGCAACAACGCACGCGACGCGTTGCCGCTAGACGAGAGCAGCAGCGGGCGGTGAGTGAGATCATATCTAACCGGCCTGCCTTGGTTCTCCCGGACCTGTTCCATTTCCAGGCCCGTTAGTGCATAAGAGTTGGCGGTGTGAATGATACTGCCCGAGACGGAAGCGGGCGCGTTCTCGCCTCTGCCATTCATCCCGCTAATGAAGAGCGACCTGCATTCCCCAGCAGGTGTACGGTGGGGTTTCGGGGGCGGGTGTTGATAGGCCGGAAATCCGAATGCCGCAAGGGCCTGGTGCACTCGCAGCGCTAGGCTGTCATCCCAATACCGGCTGAGGCCCAGAGACGTGGCCTGCGTGTCGGCAGTGAAAAGTGGCCAAGGCACATCCGCCTGGGCAAAGCACGAGTGCGCTGCAGCAGTCAGAATGGTAGCGGCCCTTTTGGGGTGTTTGGCCGGCTTCGCCACTTGGGCGAGGCTCCACAGGAGGACGAGGCTTCTTTTTTCCAATACATAAGGACCCCAGGGAAAAGTTGGATCCGAACTGGTCCGTTGCCCTTCACCCCCACAGAGGCCCATAGAGGAACCGCGTCACCGTTGCCCCAAATGGCCTCCGGCAGGGTGGGCAGCCGGTGTACATTTCCCCAGAGCCGCAAAACACTCTTCCCTTTGGCGCCATATCCATGAACAAACGGGGGGGGCACAGCCTCGGCGAAACGGTTCGCCATGAACAAGTCTGGCCCTGGCAGAATCGCCATTTGAGTTTGCGAACTGCCATAGCCTAGCAGGAGAGGAAGAAAGCCCTGCTCATAGGGACCTTGTCCCCAAGTTTTGACTCCTTTCACCTGCCCAATGGGAGAGGAGCCAAGGGCAATCTGTGGTTCCGGGCGGCTATCCTCGAGGTTGGCCTGTTTCCATGCTAGCTCATGCACATATCTGCCGAGCAACGCCCAAGCAAACACAAAGTCGGAGTGCCTGTTGGCCTTCGTGCCAGCAAGGGGAGTGTTTCGAAGGCACTGCAAATGGTGGATTCTGTCCAATGTCACGTCAACATGCATGCCAGGCAATGGAGTGGGCACTCCACTGGGGAGGATGATTCGCGTAAACGCACGGGCCAGTGCCGCACGCACGATGTCCACAGCTTCAACTGCAGTGTGCGGAACGCAGAAGGCAGGAGGTCGCGGGCACGATGCATCCGGAGCATCCGGGTAGAAGATCACCAAGCCCCCATTGGCCTCAAGCTGATCTTCCGACGCACAAACCATGCCGATGGAGTTAGGCGACCGGGCTCTGGACGGGATGTATCCATCCGGCGAACAGCTCCAAGGCGAGGATGGAAGCGAGCCACAGGGCTGTGTCTCGTCCACCTCCAAGTCCATTTTACCTAAAGGCTCCACCGACAGGGAGTTTGGCAAGAGGTCGAGAACTGCAAAGCGTCGTAGCTCTTCGGCTTCCCATCTGGCGGTGAA